GCAATGAGCAAGTTCCAAGACTCGTTATATATGCTGCAGCACTAAGCTACATATCAGTAAAACTTGATGAGGGAGAGGCTAGAATTGGAAGCAAGTGGGAAAAGCTGCAAGAGGTGAGGGCTGGAGACGAGAGAAGAGCGTAGAGGAATAAGGGATGGGAAGAAAAGGAAAAAGCGTCCATGACCAAAACCCACATTGGACCAACGAGGGGTACCAGTGAATATTTTGGAGGGGAAATAGGCAACAGCAAATTGGATGGTGAAAAGGAAGGAGAAAGGAATCAAGGCAGAGGAGACTTGGAAGTCATCCTTCAAGAACAGAATGAAAGCAAGTAATTTGTCATTTAACTCTTCTATATCCCACAACAGTCAGGCATCTGCCAAGGCTGCCCTGATCCACATAACTTTTCAGAGCAGAGACCAGAAGGGCCAAAAGCACAATTCTCATTCTACCACTATGGAGGACCATCAGGATGGCTCTGCTTAAAAGAGCATTTGTCTCCATTTTGACTAAACTAATCCCATGTAATTAATAAGTACAGAGCTGGCTAGGATATTTCTTTATGCTCCCAACTGGCATTAAGCACTGCAAATGGGTCTAGCTGAGGTGCTGATGTGTAGTCTTTAAAGCAATGGACAGGTCAGTGATGCCCCACAAAGAGCTCCCAACTAGTATGTGTGAGCTAGGCTGAGTGACTCCATGTTGTCAGCTGAGACTGAGAAAGAAAACTTGATGTCACAGGGCACGAAGGCTAGATACCAAAGCTAAAGCACGAGCCCAAAACACAAGACATTTCCTCAAATGGTGGTATACAAATTACTCTTTCTGCATACCTCACTCTGCAGAGATGCTATCAGGTCTCCTACCTAGCCCAGCTCGCAGCATTCATCATACATCCCGAAGCACTCTCCTCTTCACAAATTAATAAGCTCAGGTTCAGTCCTGGGTTGAGGCCTTTGTTCTAGTCAGCCATTGTTCTAACTGGACATAGGACTCCCTTGGCTCAGTTGTGCTCTCAGCGTGCCCCGGGGGTGGGGCCAGCACAGCAAGCCGGAAATCGAACCCAGCCCCAAAGCTCTGCCTAAGCAGGTGCTTTAGTCCACTGAGCTATCTGGCTGGCCCTTTGTAACTCAAATGTTTATAAGTCAGGGACTTACTGTATTTCCATGTTAACAAGGTTCCCCAGGTGACACATATGCTTATTATGTTATATGGTTATTAAACACTGAATTACAGAAAGTCTGAACTCAGATGTGACATAGGGTAAACTATATCCCAGATGAGGGGAATGCGAAACACTTCATTAATAATTTTTATATTGATTATTATACATTATGATGATAATCCCTTGGCTATATTGTGTTAAAATATTTTATTAAAATTAATTTCAATTGATTTTATAAATGTAGCTACTAGCAAACTTTATATACATGCCTCACATTATATCTCTAGTGGACAAGGCTGTGCTAGAGAGGAAGCTCCCAGAGGGCAAGTTCCATGGATGACCCTTGCTCTGCACCAAGTGCCAATGACCTGTCCTCTAGAAGAGACAAGAGTCATAGCTGGCTTCAGAGAGCTGTTCCAGGGGATCAGCAATGGCTGCTTCCTGCTGTGTAGGGCCCAAGAGCTTTCAGAGTCCTGTAAGGCACCTGTTCTCATAAGGGATTCTGTGTCTTTCAGTCCTGACTGGTAGGGGGAGATCAGATGAAGAAGCTTTCTTATAGGATCACAAGTCTGCATCTTGTACAGCAATTAACCACTAAGAAGAATATATGCAGTGTATTATTTGTTGAAACTGTACTTTCGATTTGATTTGAAACTGTCTCATTGCTATATGTTTATCAATAAAACTTTGAAAAAAAAAAAAAAAAAAAAAAAAAAAAGAAGCTTTCTTACAAAGGCCCCTCTGCAAGGATCCCTGAGAATACTAAAGCTAGCTCAGGTAAGACCAGGCCACCACCAAATCACATAGCAGCTTCACCTGGTCTCTGGTGCAGAAACAGAGTGCTCACAGGCTCACGTTGAAAGAGGCTGCAGTCACAAGGCCAATTTTCATCTCTTCAATCAGAAGGTGTACTATGTCTCAGCCCAGCACAGGGGTACATATCTGAAATCCTAGTTACTTGAGAAGCTAAGATAAAATGATTGCAAGTTCTAGGTCAGCCTGAGCAGCCAGCCAGATCTTGACTCAAAACAAAACTTGTAAGAGGAATGTGGAAGTAGTTTAGGGGTAGAACTTTTGCTCAGCATGTGTGTGGCCCTGGGTTTGAATCCAGCCACACACACACACACACACACACACACACACACACACACACACACGGGGAAGGCATAACATATCTGCTTTGCCTGAGCCTGAGACTCCCCTAATTAAAATTAAAAGGTGAGGGCAGGGTCTAGAGTCTGAGCCTTTTGTTCTAAAGCTGTCCTGTCACACTGACTTTCCTTTGCCATGACCCATTAAAAAATGTGAATTGAAAAGGTGCCTTCACATCATTCAGGTTATATGTACTTCTTCTGCAAACCTAGCATACCACACTCTTCCCTTCAGGTGATTCAGAAAACAGAAAACAAGGGCTGATTCAGGCTACAGAGAAGATGGAATTTGATAGGTTCCTGTTGGAGTATAAATTGGTAAATCATTATGGTAGTGGTCTAACATGGCTGAAGCCCCCAAACAACAGTTTATGTTCCCAATGATCACTTCCTCCTTTATCCCCACCCCAGCTCTGAATACAACTTCCTTTTACTTTTCCCTCGCCACAAGGGAAGCCCTAATAAGCCCCTTATGCATGTCACTGAGCTTGCCCATCAAACTCTGCCCCTAGCAATAATCCATATAATCCCAGCTCCTCTTTGGCTGAGGTCAGAGCATCCCTGCCCTCTTTCTGAAGTCCTCTCCTCTCTGGAATCCTCAATAAATGCCTTCCTTTTCTTTTGTCTCTCTACTGTGCCAAAAACCTAACAGAATTCACACCCTTTAATGCAGAAACTGAGTTCCAGAGGTTTAAACCACATATCTGATTGGCCAAAGTTAGGCTCAGGACTTTGGATTTTGATTCGCAACACAGTGCTTTCTCCATTTCCTCAACTCCACAAGAGAAGTGAAAAAAGGGAACAGAAAATTTTGTTGGTGGGCTTCAACCCAACCTTGGGCCTGGAAAGCAGGTAACATTGGGGCTAGCACAGTATCTGACTGATGGTGAGGGGGTCCATTCTGAGGCTCTGACCCAGGCCCATTGTCCATCTGGAATGGGCCAGCCACAAGCAGTTGAAGGTCATTAAAATACACGAGGTATGTAGTTAAAGAATTTAAGGAAAGCATCCAAACTATGCACACCCTGCTCTGGGGAAAACAGGGCCAAGAACATCACTACTCAGGTGCACCTCACCCCTTTATAGGACCCTCCCTGGCTACATTAACCCTCCATTCACAGATTTCCTGGAAACCAGGTTGGGAGCATGGTCTCTTGGACATGGGAAGAGGGGGCTGATGCCTGGTCTATAAGTGCGTAGAAAGGTTGAAGGAACCCTGTTTTACTTCCCAGGGAATGGCAGAGCCCACGTAGAGTGGGGCAGCTTTGGCATAGCAGGGCAAAAGCCAGTTTTACTCATGGCCAAATGTTTCTTCAAGATGTTTCAATGTTATTAAGATATTAAGTACAGGGGAAGAAAAAATGGTAAAATAACTAATCAGTGTAAACACATTGGTGGTTTACTTCCTGCATGCTGCTTGGAGTTTTGCAATATTTTTAAAACAGGCACATATTACTTCATTATGACACTAATGATGGTGCTAAAAGTTGCTCATTCATTCCTCAAATTCCCCAAACACTCAGAAGGGCCTCAGGCAGGGGGTGCTCCATGGGCTGGAGATCAGAAGTGGACAGCATAGTCCACTAAGCAGAACCTTAGTGCTCCACACTGGGGTGGAGGTGAGGAGAGCAATCAAACAGCAGGAAGTCCTAGAAGAAAGCCTGCAGGGGCAGGGGCAGGACAGGAGGCTGGGGTCAGGGTAGTAAGGGTCTCCCAAGGGATGCAGAAGCAGATGCTAGAAGGACCCTGACAGTGCATCAGGTAAAGGGGTGTGGGAGGCTGCCTGCCAGAAGGGGCGGAGAGGGGTCTGAGCCAAGTCCTGCAGGGCTATCAGGCCATACTGACACAGGGGGATGAAACTCCCAATCTGAAAGGTGCTCGGACAAGTTTGTGTTCTCTAAATTGAAGAATGAATTTTAGGAAAAAATGGAGGTTAAGAGCAGAGTATTTATTGGGCAAAGAAAGCTTCTGTCTGAGAGAGGGACAGAAGGGTAACCCAAGTGGGTTACCCCGGGAATCTGCCATTTCCAGGGATTTTTATAGAGCAAAACCTTACGGGTCTAAGGTGGAAAAAATGGGAACTCGATTAGGTGGACATGAAGTGGGACTAAACTATGGTCAACCAATGAGATTACAAGCACCATTGCTCAGGTAAAATTGATTAAATCCAGGACCAAATGGGGAAGTGAGTCACATAGCAAGCAGGTATGAATATAGAACAGGACTTTATCCAGTAGCTGGTAGTGGTTGGATTAAGACTCTTCCTGGCTTCCTCAAGGTGATGATCAATCCCAGATGCTTACCTTTAGGGAGGTGAGCATTTGTTTGATTTTTGGTCTGTTGGTCTGGTCCACAGCAGGAGCATCCATCTCTATCACAGTTACAAGGCATCTTATCTTCCATGCTGTGTTCTTGAGGACCTGGCCCTGTCTGACTGCCTGTAATATTTTTATCTAAGTCAGCTGCCTACAACAACACAAGGTGTCTAGTTTCAGCACCAGTGTGGGGAAAGACATGGGAAGGCTTGAGCAGGCAAGTGCGTGCTTCCTGTATGCCAGTAGAGTTGCTTGCTTGGATGTCCTCCTTGGTCTCCCTAGCAGCCCCCTACCCAAGAGAGCTACAGCAGGGGCAGCAGGTCTGGGGCTGACTGCTAGCCCCCAAAGCTCCTGTCTCCCGGGACTCACCTTCCACTGTCAGCTCCACCGTCAGCTGGCGGGCACCACTGCCATTGCTGGCTTCACAGGTGTACTTTCCCTTGTCCTCCTCACAGACAGCACAAATGACAAGGCTGAAAGTTCCCCGGACACCACAGTCCAGCAGGAAGCGGCCCCCACTGGAGAGGGGTTGCCCATTTCTGTGCCATGTCACCTGGGGCTCTGGGTAACCTCGGACCTTCAAAAAATAGAAGAAGGGGAAAGGTTATAAGCATAACTACTCCCTCTGTACCAGATGCAGTTCTGAATGCCTGACATGTATTCTTTAACTCAACCCACATAACAAGCTTCTAAGCAGATACAACTTTCATCTCCATTTTACAGATAAGGAATTATTATTATGGCCTATGGACGGCACCCATGACCTCTGCACTGAGGTACATCCCCAGCCCATCCTAGTTTTTATTTTGGGACAGGATCTTGCTAAGTTTCCAGGTGGAGTTCAAAGTTATGATCCTCAAATTTTAGATCTTCCTGCCTCAGTGTCCCAGAGTGCTAAGATTTTCACTTTGCCTGGCTAGAACAAAGTTATGTGAGATACAAAATAATGATAGTAACAGCTTTCACTCAAGTATCCACTCTCAACAAGAAAGATGGATGTGGAAGAAATGAAGCCAAAATTTGCTGCATCATTCTAAACAAAGTAGCAACCTCACCCTGTGCCATTTTTGTTTTCTTTTTGTAGTGTTGGGGACTGAACCCAGGCCTCGCACATGCTAAGCAAGTGTTCTGCCATTAAGTTATACTGAAAGCCCCACAGTTCTCTTTGTACTATACTATGTCCCCATCTCAGCTCTTCTGCCCATCCTAACCTCAGACCTGATTCCCAGCAGCCAGGATAAAGATTCTTCCTAAGGAAGGAAACCTCCAAATCACAGCCCCTCTGGCTAGCCCATACACTCAGTCCTTCTGGGCAAGTTCGGAATCTTACAGGTCTTGCCTCTCTATCCTCACTGATTGGCAGCCAGCCTTCAATGTGATGGGAGGTGGCAGGGACTGGGAGGGCGACACAATGGGGACGGGAGCAGGGTACAGGGACGGAGGTGGGACACGATGATGGCACGACTTCAATCAGTATTACTCATCTTATTTCTAGAGACAAACAAGAAATTCTGGTCCTATAAAAATCAAAACTAACAACAGAGATGGCATACCTGTAAGGAAATTCTTAGGTGCTGAATCGAAGTCCATTTTGTAAAAAGCTGGAAGCTACTGTGGTTCTAGCAAAGCAAGCTTCCCACAGGAGACCACAGCTGGGAGGTTTTAGAGCGTCCCGGCCATTATAATACAAAGTGGTTGTCTTGGATTGGCAAAACTACAAGTTCTCTTAAAATTTTAAAAATGTGCACCTGCCTTTTTACCAAAATGGCATAGAAAGTAAAGAAGAAAAGCTGAAGCTGAAGCAAAAGCTTGGACAGCAAGAAGGCACTACTGACAGGAGTCCACAGCCACAAACAGATCCGCAGGTCACCCGCCTTCCAGTGGTTCAAGACACCTTGGCTCTGGAGGCAGTCCCAGTACCCTCAGGAGACCACTGTCCAGAGGAAGAAGCTAGGACACTAGCTCACAATCAAGGTGCTGTATCCACTGAGTTGAGCAGCACCAAGACAGAAGAACAACAAACTTGTACTCACTGTGGATGTCAAGTGCAAAAGGCCCCAGACAGGAGAGGCTGTAAAGAAGCTCTATGACTGATATGGGATGGGGGAAGGGGAGGAGGGAGCAAATGTTGGAATGCTCCTGATCACGGTGCTTTGGATGTTGCATCAAAACTGGGCCATCTAAACTGAGCCCAGCTGGTTCATTAGATAGATAGATAGATAGATAGATAGATAGATAGATAGATAGATAGATAGATAGACAGACAGATAGACAGATTGCTTCTTTTTATAATTATGTATCTGTATGATGAACATATAGCACATTCATTAATTTGTTGAGACTCTCGCAGTATTTGAATCTACCAATAGCAGTAAGAGAGCCACACAAATAAGTAGGATGCACATTGGAGGGTGGCACATGTCACACCCCCACAAAAATTATCTTGTGGCTTTATCCTGGTACCAAGGATCACATGAACAGCAAGCAACTATCCTGTTAAAGCGGTCTTGTTCATATTTTCAGAAGATGCTTATAGAAGCTCCTCCAGAAACCTTGGGAGGCTGGCTGTGTAACAAATTTTCAAACTGTCCTTATCTTCTTGAGCACCCCATTAGGCAGGACTGGCTCGTCCTCCCAAAGATATCACAAGCCCCTGTTTATTTTGCAGAGAGAGGATGGGGATAAATCATTAACAGCACTGGGGCATCCCTGCATTCCAGCAGCAGGCATTCTGGCCCCCTGCAGCAGGCCAGCTCCTGTGAGAGGCAGCAATGATTAACTGGGGACACTGTGAGCATTTCAGGCCTTAGGGACAGGATTCCTGGGTCATTTCTCATTATCTATACTTGTCCCAAAGTTAATTCTAAATGTGTTAAATTAAATATCCAAGGATTTCTTTAAAATATGCTGAAACTGACATCATGTAAGACAGGGGCAATTTGTGAATGCTCTTTTATAGTCCTTGGATATGAAGCAAAGGTGGGAATTTCTACAATCTTGTTTTATTCCAATGTCTGAATGATTTGCAATATCAATCTTTATCCTCCAGTGTGAGAAAAATTTATGCAAGCATTATTTAACATTACCCAAAATTGCAGAATATTAAGTACACCCTTTTTACTGTCTGTGTGCTCCACTGGCCAGGAAAGGCAAGGAAGTCTTGACAAAAGTCCTCCCCTGGGGTGCATTGTCTGCCATCATCACTTCAAGTAGGACACCACAGCTGAGCTTTAGCAGTCAGGATCCTTGCCAAAGGAGCAGTGAACCCACTGATCCTTCTGTCTACCATGAACTGTTTCTTGTCTGTGATGTCCCTCTGCCATGCCACCCTGCCTTGGAGCCAGCCAACTATGAATTGAAACTTCTATTAATCCTTTAGTTTTCAGAGAACCTCCCTGTGCAGCATCTTACAACATTATGAGAAGTGCATCCTACTTGGGCTACCCAGAAACAACCTGAGACAGAGGGCTAGGTGTGGTACAAGTAATGTTCAGGACAGCACAGAAAGTGAATCATACTGTAGACTACAGAACAAGAAGAGAATGAGGGAGTGGACAGTTTGCTAGTGAGCTCATGTGGTAGGTTAAGTGGCACATTTAGGACCATAATTTTGGTCTCCAAACTGAGAGTTATCTTCAACCCTTATTGTAAATTGCCATTTGGGATAAGACAAATTCTGTAGGACCCAAAGCAGTGAAAAGTATCTAATTCTAACAGATCCTAAATTTCACTGAGGCTAAAGCAATTATCTGCTTCTCACTTTTGGAAAATGTCAAAGCATTTACAAAAGATATGGTCACATCACAAATGAGTCTTGGGCTGTCCCCTCAGATTCACAGGACAAGATTGGGATCACACGTGTGCTCATGCTAGCTACCCTAAGGAGAGTCAGAGAATCACAGAAAAGTCAGGAGGAAAGCCAGTGCCTGGGTGTCTGGGCCTGGCCTGGTTTCAAAAACTCTTTGGATTTTAATTCCTTTTTTCTTTGAAGAGAAAATTGCTCTTGATATCCAAGCTTCCTTTCTTCTCCAAAGTGACCCAGTTACTTTTTGGGGAAGATTCCTTCTCTCCCCACCATTCTCCTCAGTGCCCAGCCCACAGCCTTCGTACCCTCTAATCCTCCATACAGGAAGACCCGTGGCCACAGGAGGAATGCCTACAAACACGAATAGGCAGCCTTGAGTTTTCACCATAATGAGTCTTTGGAAGTGGCCCCAAAGAGAGTCATTCTGAGGAGAATCATGTTTTTGCCACAGTAACTATATTTTAATTGGAGACTATGTTTTGAACAAAAGTTCAGTATCCAATAAATCAAGGGCATAACCAACAACTTGTCATAAAAATAAAGATATAGTAGCCATAAACCCTATAATAATTTTAAGTAGTAAAACTGTGTTCCAGCTTCATTAAATGTCCTCAAAAGGCCTCTAACAGGCATGGGGCTCACTCCATGTGTAGGAATGGTTGAGGAGAGCAGGGCTCTGGGCAGGAGTGGGAGGGCTACTGCATTACTCCTACCTGGCTCACTGGAGGAGCAGTTTTCATAATCTGGGCATGTCCTGAGATATACTCAGTGACTGGAAAAAAAAAAAAGCTATTCTCAAGGGCACTGAATATTCTTTTTTTTTCTCTGACATACCATGAGCTTTCAGCCATTACTCTCTGCCCAGAACAGGCTACCTCAGCCTGAACCAGAATTGTGACAGGGTATCTGCCCTCTCCAAGACCCCCAGCCACACAGCCTTTCTTCTCTGAGCTTAGTGAGTAGAAGAAAGGGGATGATTCTTCTGGTTTTCATGATTCCCTTGTGCCTTCATTTTCTGCAGAGCCTGGTCCTGGGCACATGCTGCAAACTCATACAGCTACAGGGCACAGCTGTGGTGGCCTGACTGTTAGTGAGGCCTGGGGAAGGAGAGGGAGCTGGAGAACAGGAGAGCAGCCAGGACTGAACAAAACACATGGAGAAACAGATAGCTGGGCAGGATGCTGGGGACAGGAAAGATAACCTAGAAGATGGAGCCCACACTGAGGAATATTAGGGCTGAGAGCAACAGCTCCAAGGGCATTATTATGACTTCTGTGTAGATATACCCCAAAAGCCTCCTGCAGTCATAGGTAGGGCTTTTAGGAGGTGGCTGGATCTAAAGTGTGTGATTCTGAAATTGATTCATGGTGTGATGTTAGGATTAAAGGTGCCTCACTCGGGGTGTCAGTGGTATCTACCCTCAGGAGGAAGCCTGGATAGAATATAAGGGATAGAAAAAGGGATGCTGTTGTTGCTGCTTGCTGCTTTTTTTTTTTTTTTTTGTACTCTGCTGCCTTTTGCCTACCATGAACTGTTTCTCATCTGTGATGCCACCCTGCCTTGGAGCCAGCCAATTATGAATTGAAACTTCTATTAAGTTGTGAGCTAAAAAACCTTTTTCCTTTAACTGTGAGTAATAGGTATTTTGTCTCAGAAATGAGAAAAGCAACTAACAGGGATGTTGGGAAGAATGGATTTGATTGTGGAGCAATGGAATAGATGCTGGGAGAGGCTGGTCCTGAAGGCGTGGACATGCAGGAAACCACAGTGAG